TGTCTCTTGCTAAGGTTAATGTGATTTAATCCAGTTGCTCAATATGTTCCTGGGAACAATCTGGTAGTACATACACTCTGCCCTGGAGCCAAGCATCGCACTCAAATAACCATGAGCTGGAAGATGACTTAGAGGGGTACACGGATGCCGCGGACCCATACAGACCAGTGAGAGAAAAGTGATGACTTCAGAGACAAAAAGTAACCCTGACAGACACGCAACTTCAGGAAGTTCTAAGTTACAGTGGGGTGACCGGCTTACGTGTTTAAAGGACACTAAGGAAGTGACAAGAGACTCCTTTGTGGTGTGTGGACAATTAAGTGAGTCAGATGGATTCATGATTAAAGGGGGTTGCATTGTAACTCCAAACGAAATGAGAGAGGAAATCCTAAACCTCCTCCATGAAGGACATCATGGGTTAGCTAAATGCCATGAAAGGGCCAACCAGTCAGTGCGGGGGCCGGCCATCAGCAAGGACGTTAAGAACAAAATATCTGCATGTGAACATTTGAGAAATGAGACCAGCACAACACAAAAAACCCTTAATGACAACACCTCTGCCAGACAGACCTGGGAAGGGACTAGCTGCAGATTTATGCAGATTCAGAAGACATCATTACTGGGTCACCATGGACTAGTTTCCCAGGTCCATAGGGATAATGTACTTGAAAGACGTAACATTTTGCAGTGAGACCGAGAAAGTGAAGTGCACTTTTGCTCACTTTGGTAGTGAGTGATGGACAACGGACCACAACTCACTGCAGTGGAATTTAAGTCATTCGGAACAAAATATGACTTTGATCATATTACTAGCAACCCACGTTACCCACAAGCGAATGGAGAGGCTGAGAGAGCTGTGCAGACAGCCAAGAAAACCCACAGCAGGAAGATCCCTTCCTTGCCCTTCTGAGCTACAGATAAACACCAAGAACAGCTACTGGATACAGTCCAGCACAACTCCTGATGGGAAGACAACTGGGAAATACTGTTCCTACCCACAAAGTGCCCAGACACGAAGAGAGCAGCCAAATCAGATAAAACAGCTACAGGAGCTTGTGGACACTTTTACAACAGGCGTCATTCATAGGCACTGACTCCGTGGGTGCTCTGAGGCTGCAGCACCTACAGGGAAAAATTAGTGGGTGCTCTGCACGCACTGGCAGCCAAGCTCCCCTCACCACCCGCCCCACCTCCTCCTCCTCCCCTGAGCGGACTGCATCCCTGCTTCTCCACCTACCTCCCAGCGCTTCCTGCCAGGCCACTGCCAAACAGCTGTTTGGCAGCGTTAGCACGCTCCGGGGGGGGGAACATGGTGTGCTCAGGGGAGGAGGCGGGGCCGGGGCAGGGATTTGGGGAAGGAGTTGGAATGGGGCAGGGAGGGAGCACAGTTGGGGCGGGGACTTTGGGGAAGGGGTTGGAATGGAGACAGGGCAGGGATGGGAAGAGGCGGGGCAGGGACCTGACGGAAGGGGTGGAGTGGGGGTGGGGCCGGGGAGAGAGGGGAAGTCAGCGCCTAAGGCGTCACTCAGAGACCTGCAGGGACAGAAGCTAGTGGCCACGTTCATGTCAAACTGGATGAAGGAAATGGCTGGAGAGCCCCAACTATCACAAAATAAAAAGAACTCGGTGCCCAGAGCCTGTGGGATCGAGACCGGCCGGAGGGCGCCACAGAAACCATCGGCACCTGCCGTCGGGGTCGGAAAGAACAAGTAACCAGCAAGCCCTACAGATGGCGGAGGCAGAACACCATGACGACTCGAGGATTTTAGACCAACCCCAGCCAGTCGTTGAACCTATGGGCAGCCAGACGACCCAGTTGTTACGGGATCGCTCCGTGCACTTAGAAACCCAGCATGATTCGGAGACTCCTCACAGACTGATCAGCATGGCAGCGCACGAGCAGAACGACAGGAGACCCTGGCAATTGCGAACCTTGGGCTACAGCAAACGTGGTCCCTGGATCCCACCTCCAGCCCAGCTGCTGCGGTGCGGGGCTGAGAGCTCCTGTCAACTCTGTCAGCTCCCGGGCCAGAGGCGCTGTGCCCATCCCCCTCGCACTCTGACGAACCCCTGGCTGTACCGAACACAGGGCTTGGATCCCCAGGGTCCGTTACAGTGAGGGTGTGGGAAATGGAGAACTCAGAGGAGGTGGTCACAGAACCACAGGACTGGAGGAACCTCGAGAGGTCTCTTACTCCGGTCCCCTGCCTCATGGCAGGACCAAGTATTATCTAGACCAGAGTTTCTCAAGCTGGGGTACTGCAGGGGGTCCACAGGGGGTCTGCAGGGGGTCCACAGGCCCAGCTGATCAACTCCTCCCCTCACTCCCGGAGCCTCCTTCACACCAGGGAACAGCTGATGGGAGGGAGGGGGAGGAGCGGGGACCCTGGGTCCGCGCTCCCAAAAGTGGCCAGCGCATCCCTGCGGCCCGGGCAGGGGAGGGGGCAGGAGGTCTCCACATGTGGCCCCCAGCCTGAGTGCTGACTCCACAGCTCCCACTGGGTGGGAACTGCGGCCAATGGGAGCTGCGGGGGCAGTGCCGGAGGGCAGGGGCAGCACATGGAGACCTCCGGCCCCTCACCTAGGAGCCGCTGCCAGAGGGATGTGCTGGTCGCTTTTGGGAGCTGCCCAAGGTAAGTGCTGCCCAAGGTAAGTGCCCCCCTCACTCCCTCCCACACCCCACCTCTCTGCTCCAGCCCAGAACCCTGCACCCCTTACCCCTTCCCAAACTGCCAGCCCAGAGCCCACACCCCCTCACCCCATCCCGCACCCAAACTCCCTCCCAGAGCCCGCACTGCCTCCTGCACCCAAACTCCCTCCCAGAGCCCACACCCTGCACCTCCTCCTGTACCCCAACCCCCCTGCCCCAGCCTGGTGAAAGTGAGTGAGTCTCTTCTCCTGACTAAACAAACCCAATTTTTTCAGTCTTCCCTCATAGCTCACACAACGCACTGTCAACCTGTGGAACTCCTTGCCAGGGGATGTTGTGAAGCCCAACACCATAACAGCATTCGAAAAAGAACTAGATAAGTTTATGGAGGATAGGTCCAACAATGGCTATTAGCCAGGATGGGCAGGGATGGTGTCCGTAGACTCCGTTTGCCAGAAGCTGGGAATGAGCGACAGAGGATGGATCACTTGGTGATTCCCTGTTCTGTTCATTCCCTCTGGGGCACCTGGCATTGGCCACTGTGGGAAGACAGGACACTGGGATAGATGGGCCCTGGTCTGACCCAGTATGGCCGGTCTTATGTCATGTTTTCTAGACCTTTAATCATTTCTGTTGCTCTTCTCTGAACTTTCTCCAATTTGTCCACACCCTTCCTGAAATGTGGCGCCCAGAACTGGACACAATACTCCAGTTGAGGCCTAATCAGCGTGGAGTAGAGTGGAAGAATTACTTCTCATGTCTTGGTTACAACACTCCTGCTAATACATCCCAGAATGATGTTTTCTTTTTCTGAAACAGTGTTATACTGTTGACCCATATATAGCTTGTGATCCGCTATGACCCCCAGATCCCTTTCCGCAGTACTCCTTCCTAGACTGTCATTTCCCATTTTGTACGTGTGCAACTGATTGTTTCTTCCTAAGTGGAGTACTTTGCATTTGTCCTTGTTGAATTTCATCCTATTAACTTCAGACCATTTCTCCAGGTTGTCCAGATCAGTTTGAATTTTAATCCTATTCTCCAAAGCACTTGCAACCCCTCCCAGCTTTTAGTATCGTCCGCAAACTTTACACATGTACTCTCTATGCCATTATTTAAATCATTGATGAAGATATTGAACAGAACCGGACCCAGAACTGATCCCTGCAGGACCCCACTCGTTATGCCCTTCCAGCATGACTGTGAACCACTGATAACTACTCTCTGAGAATGGTTTTACAATCAGTTATGCATCCACCTTATAGTAGCTCCACCTAGGTTGTATTTCCCTAGTTTGTTTATGAGCAGGTCATGTGAGACAGTATCAAAAGCTTTACTAAAGTCAAGATAGACCATGTCTACCACTTCCCCCCTATCCACAAGGCTTGTTACCCTGTCAAAGAAAGCTCTCAGATTGGTTTGACAAATCCATGCGGACTGTTATTTATCACCTCATTATCTTCTAGATGTTTGCAAATTGATGGCTTAATTGTTTGCTCCATTATCTTTCCGGGTACAGAAGTTAAGCTGACTGGTCTGTAATTCCCTGGGTTGTCCTTATTTCCCTTTTTATAGATGGGCACTAGATTTGCCCCCTCCAGTCCTCTGGAATCTCTGCCGTCTTCCACGACTGTTGGAAGACAATTGCCAATGGCTCAGAGGGAATCGAATGTCACACTGTGTTTCACTGTTCAGCCATTAGGCAGCGCTATGTGCAAAATACCTAGTAAAGGAACCTCAGCCAGACCAGGCCAAGCATGGCAGGGCCCAGTGATGAACCCAGCCAGGGGGTACCTTGCTCAGAGCATAGGCGCCAACTTCTCCTGGCGCCAGTGGGTGCTCGACCCCCTCCGCCCCGGCTCCGCCTGACTCCACCCCCTGTCCCGCACCCATTCCAACCCCTTCCCCAAATCCCCGCCCCGGCCCCACCTCTTCCTCACCTCCTCCCCTGAGCGTGCCGCATTCCCGCTCCTCCCCCTCCCTCCCACAGCTTGTTATGCCACGAAACAGCTGTTTAGCAGTGGGAAGTGCTTGGCGGAGGAGCGGGGATGCAGCAGGCTGGGAGGAGGCAGAGGTGAGCTGGGGTGGGGGTAAGGGAAGTTTGGCTGCCGGTGAGTGCAGGGCACCCACTAACTTTTCCCCGTGGGTCCTCCAGCCCTGGAGCACCCATGGAGTCGGCGCCTATGGCTCAGAGATAAGCCCTGTAGTCAGTCTATATCTGGTACACTGAGGGGCAGGGAAAGCCACATGCCTGCCCCCCTGGGGTACAGGGAAAGCCATGTGCCCACCCCCCCAGGGTGCAGGGAAAGCCATGTGCCCACCCCCCCGGCGGGCGCCCCATCCCCCTTACCCTGCTCCTGCGAGCCCCTCTGCTTCGCCATGCTCTGCAGATACTCCCGCTCCTCCTGCAGCCACCGCTCTCGCACCTGGTAGTCCATCTCCCAGCCTGGGGCAGGGGCTGGACAGCTGTCCCACGCCGTCCTCGGGCTGTTGGAGACAGACAAGGACATGCACTAGCAGGACGGAGCAAATCCTACCCTCCCTGGCCTAGTCACGGCCAGCCGCACATACACCCAGGGAACCTCGGCATGGCATGGCAGCTGTCTCTGCCTGGATCCTGCCACATGGCAACGCCACCCATGGGACAGAGAATCCCAAGTCCTGCTGAAACTGCCAGGGGGGATCAGGAACCCGAACAGAATCTCCCAGAGATCCCAGCAGCTCACACCTCCTATCCCAGAGCAGGAATTAATGCTTCACCCCCAGGGGCTGGCAGCAGTACCTGGGGAGTGGGGAAACTGAGTCACACAGCTGGTTCATCAAATCTTACCAACTGCCCATATTCTCTTTGCTTTATGTGCCGTAACTTCTTACCCATCTCCTAATTGTGATACATCCCTACCACACATACATGGGGACGAATTCTTGGATCCACACCTTAGCTAAGCAACCCTGAAGTAAATGAGTGAGAGCCCTACTGTGTGGCACTGGCTGGCTGCTGACAGGGCCACAGAAACATGCCAGCAGCCAGCCGCTTCCAGGAGCAGCGTGGGGCCAGGGCAGGGAGGCAGCCTGCCTGAGCCCCGCTGTGCTGCCGGACTTTTAGCACCCTGGAGATCGCGATCGACTGGCAGAGGCTCCAGGATCGACCAGTCAATCACGATTGACGGGTTGGTGACCACTAATCTAGCCCTTGGCCTTCACAACATCTTCTGGCAAGGAGTTCCACAGGTTGATAGTGCATTGTGTGAAAAAATGCTTCCTTTGTTTTAAACCTGCTGCCTATTAATTTCATTAGGTGACCCCTAGTTTTTGTGTTTTAAGGAGGAGTAAATCACACTTCCTTATTTAATTTCTCTATACCACTCATGATTTTATAGACCTCTATCCTATCCCCCCTTAGTCGTCTCTTTTCCAAGCTGAACAGTCCCAGTCTTATTAATCTCTCCTCACACGGAAGCCGTTCCAGACCCCTAATCATTTTTGTTGCCCTTTTCTGAACCTTTTCCAATTCCAATATCTCTTTTTTGAGATGGGGCAATGCAGTATTCAAGATGTGAGCGTACCATGGATTTATATAGAGGCAACATGATATTTTCTGTCTTATTATCTATCCCTTTCCTAATGGTTCCCAGCATCCTGTTTGCTTTTTTGACTGCCGCTGCACATTGAGTGGATATTTTCAGAGAAGTATCCACAGTGACTCCGAGATCTCTTTCTTGAGTGGTAACAGCTAATTTAGACCCCATCATTTTATATGTAGAGTTGGAATTATGTTTTCCAATGTGCATTACTTTGCATTTATAAACACTGAATTTCATCCGCTATCTTGTTGCCCACTCACCCAGTTTTGTGAGATTCCTTTGTAGCTCTTCACAGTCTGCTTTGGGCTTAACTATCTGGAGTAGTGTCATATCTTTTGCAAATTTTGCCACCTCACTGTTTACCTCTTCTTCCAGACCATTTATGAGTATGGTTGTGAGATCCTGGCACCCCCTTATTCTCCACTGTCAAATAATTAGGATGTGTTTTGCACACAGTGTGCCTTGTGAGGTATCATTCTAAAAGTCTTGATCTGTTAGACAGTAATATCTCGTTGGATTGTGTGTGCTAGCGGTCGTGTGTGACGTTATGAAGTTGGGCTCTGTAGGTGTTACTGGAACCTGTTGTGAGGTTGAAAACACCCACAAGCAGCCTTTCAGGTACAACAGTAAAAAGGCCAAACAATGTGAATGGCTCATGGAGGAAATGCACAAGCACAAGGATTCCCCAGGAACTGTGTACAATAGAAACCTCTCGGAGACAGCACTGCACAATGGGATCTATTTGACCCGGGTCACAGCAAAAGAGCTTTCCAGTGCGTGGGAAGAAGATATAAAAGGGGGACAATGACATCATGATGGTACCTCACTCTCCCTACAACACCACACCTGGAAATACCACAGGAACAAAGACTGAACTGGGGGAAGTGATGGTCCCAGGCTAAAGGTATTTCTAGCCTGTGTATGAAAACCTGGGACACCCAAGCTTGCAAAGCAAAGGCAGCTTGTGCCTTAAACAGATGGCAGATTCTTTTCACTCAGGGTGAGAATTACTGTCTTAAGCTCAGTTTGTGGTTTTGTTTATTTACTAGGTAATCTGCTTTGATCTGTTTGCTATCACTTATAATCACTTAAAATCTATCTTCTTGTAGTTAATAAATGTATTTTATGTTTTAATCCAAACCAGTGTGTGTTTGACTAAGGTGTCTGGGGAAAATCTCAGCTTGGTTTCCACAAGTGTGCATGGTCCTCTTTACATTGAGGGAGAGGTGGACTAGTATTAAACCCGTATACTGGCCAGATTGGACCAGGGCAGGATGGTACTGCTCCAGGGTCCCAAGCTGGAAAGCTGGTGGTTAGAGAGCCTGCATGTAACTGCAGCTGGGTGTGTCCCTACCTGTGTGAATGCTGGTGAAAGTGCAGGCTGGAAGGCTTTGCAGCTTGTCACAGCAGCACAGTGTGAGAGGGAGCCCAGGCTGGTGGGTCAGAGGGCTCAGTGGTACCCCAGTTCCAGGTGGCATTCTGGGGGGAACCCATCACAATGAACAGCACAGGTCCCAGTTCAGAGCACTGGGGGACCCCACTATTTACCTCGCTCCATTCTGAAAACACCATTTATTCCTACTCTTTGTTTCCTGTCCTTTAACCAGTTACTGATCCATGAGAGAACCTTCCCTCTTATCCCATGACACCTTACTTTGCTTAAGAGCCTTTGGTAATGGACGTTGTCAAGGGCTTTCTGAAAACCTAAGTACATTATATCCACTGGATCCCCCTTGTCCACATGCTTGTTGACCCCCTCAAAGAATTCTAGTAGATTGGTGAGGCGTGATTTCCCTTTATAAAAGCTGTGTTCAGGGCCAGATTTACACCTTACGCACCCCTAGGTACAGCATCTTCAGTAGCATCCCCTCCCCCCGCCTACAACTGACCTTCGTGTCATAGCTGCCGACTCATGGGTGCTCCAGGGCTGGAGCACCCATGGGGAAAAATTGGTGGGTGCTCTGCACCCACCGTCAGCTCCCCCCGCCCCAGCTCACTTCTGCCTCTGCTCCATCTTTGCCTCCTCCCCCAAGCACACCGAGTGCCCACTTTTTCCCCCTAGCTCCCAGCGCTTGCGCCGCGAAACAGCTGTTTTGCACGGCAAGCACTGGGAGGGAGGGGGGAGGAGAGGGAACGTGGCACGCTCGGGGAAGAGGCGGGGCTGAGGCAGAGATTTGGGGAAGGAGTCCAATCGGGGCAGGGAGGGGGCGGAGTTGGGGCAGGGACTTTGGGGAAGAGGTTGGAATGGGGGCAGAGCAAGGGCAGGGAAAGACTGGAGTTGGGGTGGGGGGGTGAGCACCCATCGGCGTCGGGGAAAGCTGGCACCTATGCTTGGTGTTGCACAACTTTATAGAGGTGGGGCAACCCTAGAACGCCAGTGGCCCTAGGCACGTGCCTATTATGTCTAAGTGGAAATCTGGCCCTGGCCGTGTTAACTCTTCCCCAACAAATGGTGTTCATCTCTGCGTCTGACAGTTCTCTTCTCTACTATAGTTTCAACCAGTTTTGCCTGGTACTGAAGTGAGGCATGCAGGCCTGTAATTGCTGGGATCACCTCTGGAGCCCTTTTTAAAAACTGGCATTACATTAGCTCTCCTCCAGTCATGTGGTAAAGAAGCTGATTTAAAGGACAGGTTACAAACCAGTTAGTAGTTCTGCAATTTCACATTTGAGTTCCTTCAGAACTCTTGGGTGAATCCCACCTGGTCCTGGTGACTTATTACTGTTTAGTTTATCCATTTGTTGCAAAACCTCCTCTAACGACATGTCAGTCTGCGACAGTTCCTCTGATCTGTCATGTAAAAAGAACGGCTCAGGTTTGGGAACCTCCCTCACATCCTCAGCCATGAAGACAGATGCAAAGAATTCAGTTAGCTTCTCTGCAATGGCCTTATCATCTTTGAGTACTCCTTTAGCATCTCCATCGTCCAGTGGCCCACTGGTTGTTTACCAGGCTTCCTGCTTCTGGTGTACTTAAAAACATTTTGCTGTTAGTTTTTGAGTCTTTGGCTAACTGTTCTTCAAATTCTTTTTTGGCCTTCATAATTATATTTTTACACTTCCTTTGCCGGAGTTTATGCTCCTTTCTATTTTCCTCACTAGGATTTAACTTCCACTTTTTAAAGAATGCCTTTTTGCCTCTCACTGCTTCTTTTACTTTGTTGTTTAACCACAGTGGCTCTTTTTTGGTTCTTTTACTATGTTTTTTAATTTGGAGTGTACATTTAAGTTGAGTCTTTGAACAGTGTCCATGCAGCTTGCAGGGATTTCACTCTAGTCACTGTACCTTTTAATTTCTCTTTCACTAACCCCCTCATTTTTGTGTAGTTCCCCTTTCTGAAATTAAAGGCCACAGTGCTGAGCTGTTGAGGTGTTCTTCCCACCACAGGGATGTTAAATTTAATTATACTGTGGTCACATTAAATGTTCCTGTGGTGGCATTGACACTAGTAAGGACAGGAATACTAGTAAGTACCACTCCTTTACCAGGGACGGGGCGGTCCATGGGGGGCTGTTGTGATGGAGGCTGCAGAGGACACAGCATTGCAGGGCACGTGACCCATGTGCCCGAGATCACTGAGGAGTTTAAACGATTGAGGCAGCCAGAGACAGAGACTCTGTGTCCCAGCCCCCTGCCCGAGCCCTGTGCTCCATGGCCCCCTCAGCCCGAGCCCTATGGCCACCCAGCCTCCTGCCCAAGTCCTGTGCTCCATGGCCCCCCCAGCCCGAGCACCACGGCCACCCAGCCTCCTGCCCAAGCTCTGTGCCCCATGGCCCCCCCAGCCTGAGCCCCATGCCCCCCCAGCCCCCTCCCCGAGCCCTGTGCCCCATTGCCCCCCAGCCCCCTGCCCAAGGCCACCCAGCCCCCTGCCTGATCCATGATCCCTCCTATTTAAGCCCCAT